ACAAAATGTCGTAATATTATCGTAAATTTAGAAAACCTCCCCCTTTCCCCCACCATTCAATGTTGATTGCATTCGTAGAATACGGATAAAACGTCCAACATTGTTTAGGGGGGTGAAGGGGGGCAAACAAGTAAATTATTCCGATCTAACTGGTAAAAAAGCAACAAATGAATGTTTTAATAGAGTGTCGCAGATGGTTTTGTCCAGGATTGTCTGTATCTTTCAAATTCAATAACCAAGGCATTATTGCGCATTAAAAATTTAGTTTTATGCAGGACTTGCTCTTTCCATAGTAAATATGGCTCACTAGAATGTATTAGGCTTCAAGAAGCAAATGCCACGTTGTCGACAAGGTAATATAACACCCTCATGCAACGCTATGCTTAGACAGCTTGTATAGAATGCGATTAAGAATCATATGCGACGACTTTTACGCATTTAATATACATCGGAGAGCAAGTCAATGTACTTAATAGTGTATATACCAACTATTTTGCACTAAGAATATTCTAAAATACGTTAATCCATATTTATTTGTGTTGTCAGACAGACAAACGCTTAGCTGTTGACTGGAAATATATTGCGTGACCGCCATGCTAAATGACTAATCCGATTTTGTTATTGTCGTATAATAGCGCATACGCATTGACGGTGTACCACGGTACAGCGTGAACATATAAGAATATATATATATATATAACCTTTTGTAGCGTTAAAATGGTACACCGTGGAATATTTTAAAATTATTGCGCTAAATATTGTCTGAAGTAGGTTGGAATACTAAGCAACAAATGTTCTTTCAAGTCCACTTCATTGGTTTGTATTACCTCTATAACTGGGGATATTATCACAGTCTTAATGCATTGGTTTTGGTACACCGTTAGGTATGACACTGTGAAAAATTGAGCATTGATTTACCACACCCGGAAAACTTGTGTCAAAATGCATAATTCACATTTATATAATTGTCACTTAATATTCTAAATTATATGCAGTAACTGACCAGAAAGGTGAATATATCGTCCCTTAGTTCTACTGGATACCACACGCATTTGTCTATGTATAGACTGAATGTATAACCTCTCAATATGCGATAGTTTTACTTTCTCAATTATTTCACGACATTTCGTTGCTTTTAATTGCTAAAAAATAATATATCGTATGCGATTTTCTCTGCAAAAAGTTTCTACCACACATTATTACCCTTTCAAAATTCTAAGGTATTTATGACGTATTTAATTAATGAAATAAGGTACTTGATGTAATTATGAACAAAAGTAGGTCATAAGCAATGCGCATAAACGGAATACATGGCAAGGACATGTATAAAAAGAGAAATATAAAAGAATATAATTTCGACTCATTTCAGACAATCCTGGACAAAACATCTGCGACACTTACAATTACTTGACAAAATGTTGTAATATTATCGTAAATCTAGAAAACCTCCCCCTTTCCCCCACCATTCAATGTTGATTGCATTCGTAGAATACGGATAAAACGTCCAACATTGTTTAGGGGGGTGGAGGGGGGCAAACAAGTAAATAATTCCGATCTAACTGGTAAAAAAGCAACAAATGAATGTTTTAATAGAGTGTCGCAGATGGTTTTGTCCAGGATTGTAGATAAAGAATTGTAAATTTTTTGATGTTGGTACGACATGGGTGAGACCGGTAATCTGTTACATTTCTACTGTCAGGTTCCTTTGATTTTACTTAACTTCTCAACGTACTCAAAATAGCTTTTTAAACTTGTTTCTCAAAAGTTGAGCATGTGAACATGCAGCTATATCCTTTTCAGTGGCAACTTTGCAGTTGTTGTTTATAAAGAAATCTCTCTCCCAATGACTAAGCTTGACTCTTGTTTCTCGCTGCTGTTTTGAGACATGAGTTTCCATCACAGCCACTTTTCTCATGAACGTGCTATAGTAAAGTTTGTCAGCGGGGAACTGTTTATATTTTTGTCTGGCTTTATCAAACTACCGAACTTCATTTGTCTTGCCCATCACAAACACAATTGCTTTCCCTAATTTTGTTACACATCCTACAGAATTTTCAGCTTGGTCTTTGCAGTTGTTATCAGAACATTCGTCATTTTGTCCTCATTTTCTCCTTCGATGTGTTCATTGATCGCTTTCAATGATTTTGTCAGATTATTCTTTGTCAGTTTGTCATATTCGTCATTGGTCCTCTGCCTCATGTATTTTTCTTAACTCAAAAGCACCCTCTCTCTTATTTTTAGCAGTGGCTGCTTTCATCCACCGACTATAAACTCTGTTTCTACCATCTCCCCAGAATCCCTGAGTACCATCTTGACATACTAGAAATAGAAAATGAGTAACATTTTATAAAGTTAATATTTGCACATAATATGCCTGTGCCATTTTAATTAACTGGGGTAGGAAATTATTCATGATTAATTGTCTTAAGTGCGTTAATTATGTACTAATTAAGATTAGTACAATATTGGTAGTGTTGAATGACGTCAACACCAACAGATTTTAGCCATTCTTTTGCAATTTGACCTCCATTCTTTGCTATTTCACCCTGAGTGTTCTTCATGTTGTCTTTTCTTGCTAGAGTTGACCAGTTTATTACCATAACCTAAATCGTCATTGCGCATGTGAGGCACATCTAATTTTGACAGATTATAATCTTAAATTACTGATAAATAAGGCTCTTGTTTCATCATAGCACTCAAGGTTTATCCTGTGCAATATTGTCTGCAAAATTTATGCTTAGTAGCCTTTTAGATTTGTATTATTATAAAGCATGTTTTGGAATATATTAAAATGCGAAGTTGTGTCGGATAATTTGGTCACAAATGGTTCTGTGTGTTAGTCATTCACTTACAATGATATGTAATATTTTTCTGTATCACAATTGCTGGTTTTAACCTTGTGCTTTGCAATGTGCTTTCTGAAAACACAAAGTCACAACCGTGGCCAATCATTGTCTTTGGCCACATGGTTTGTCCAATTGTCGTTGTCATTTTAGTCGCAATCTAAAGTCGATCATTTGTAACATTCAACGTAACCAGATGCAATTGATTGACCACTGATCTGTACAGTGCTTCCACTTTTAAAAATTGAAAAATCCTTTTCTGATTTGGAAAGATTTGAACTAAAATTTCCTTCAGAAATATTGAAATTCCTTCGTATCTCCTTTAGAATTTCTTTCATTTTTACATAGATTTTCGTATAATAATGTTTTGAATATCACAATTTTACAAATTACAGTGAAAATACAAAAAGTGTCCCACTTCCGCTTCTGTAGTTTGTTGTGATTTACTGTAATTTGTTCTGTTTTTCTGTAGCGATTACCGATTTATCGGCAAATAGTGCGATAAAATTTAAATTTTGTTCCTTTTATGCAATGAAACTAACAAAAAATGTATTATTTCCCTTTGCTACAAATTATCATATTTAAAAATAGAAAATACTAAGTTTTATCGCGGTAGTTGCCGATAAATCGGTAATCGCTACAGAAAAACAGAACAAATTACAGTAAATTACAAGTAACTACAGAAGCGGAAGTGGGACACTTTTTGTATTTTCACTGTAAATACATGAAACAACTGCATGCCCACCTACAAAACGCGGAAAATACCTGCACGGAAAGCGTGTACACAGAACTTGGACAATGCATGTGGACAATATCTCATAATTTTTGTTGTTATATGCAGTATATACCCACTTGTTGCAATAGGCAATTCCAGCTTTTCAGTCATGCACACAGGGGGTGATGGGAAGTAAGGTTTTGTAAAATTAATTTAATTTGAATGGATGGCAAATATCCTAACGGGGGCGATATTCCCAGGGTATTTTGCCTTCCTGGTGGGGGGGGGGCGATATTCCTGGGATATGTTTGCCCCCCCCCCGGGGGCAAAATTCCTATGAATATCACTCCCCTGAGAGGGGGGCATATCTCTTGGGGGGTGGGGCAAATTGGTAATTCCTGCGACACCGGTAATGCGCAACAATATTGTCATAACTACTCTGTAACTGTATTTATTATATTAGGATCACTAAGAGTGTACTTCCAAACAAAACGTCGCAAAAGCAAAGCATAGATGACAGGAGTCATGGTCAAGACCTCCAAAGAGAAAGACGAAGACACAGGATAACAGCGGTGAGTGCCAGCAATGATGCAAAGTGCTATCGGACTTACAAAATTCTAATTAATTAATTCTAGTATACATAATCGAATTTGGGTACAATATTATACCATTTTCTCTTGTTGTTTGAGAACAATATTCAAAGATAAAATTAATGTTAATAATGAGGAATTATAGATATTGTGCAAGCAATATCATGTGGAATGAGTACATAATATGTTACTACTCGGTACTGATTACTCCATTAGGTTAATTAAGAATTAGGTTAATTAAGATTGTGGTTATATAGAGTTGGAATCTGGAATAGAGTTAGGTTCTAAATCTTTACCCTAACCCCATCCTTAATTCAAAACCCTATCAAAAAACGTAAAATATATGTTCAGTTATGTCTTGTAGATAACGGCAAGTATACATAAGTAGTAATAGTAATGGGGGATAGAAAAAAAGAGGGTGTGTGTGAACCTATATGGTTTAACTGGAGCTTTGTATGGAAAAATGAAAGTAAAACGGGCTCAGATGGCAAGACCGCTGACTGTACGGACGGGGGGGATAAAATGAAGGAGGCGTATCCATGTTTTTGGCAGGGAGATTGATGCTTGCGCGCAAGTGCGCATGCATGAGGGAGCTCCGAACCCAAAGCCTCGGTTGACCGAAGTGAGGAGTTTTTGAATTTGGCGCGCAGTTAAAGGGTTGCGAAGGTTGACGTCATAGGGGGGAATGACGTCGTGTAATTCAATATGCTGTATCAGTCTTGAACAATTACGTAATCCACATCATCATCACATGTATCAGTCACATGTATATTGGTTGTTATAAAATACATTGCATCTCCGATAGTTGTCAGTTGGGTGCATTGATTTCAACATAATAAGTGCAACAGCAAAATGTCCGAAACACAGTGTGCTGAGAATTGTGTGTGTAATAAGTGCAAAGAAAAAAAGGAGAAAATAAAAGAGTTGTTTGAAGGTAAAGCTTGTGGGTTGGCATACAATGATGATGACGATTGGTTTAATGATGAAGATGAGGAGTTTGAGTTTACAGACAGTAACAAATGGTTCAAGAAAGCATGGGTAGATGGTTTAAAAGAATGTGATGAGATGTTAAATGGGTATCAGTATGTGGCACAGTATGAAGTGGATGCTGGCGTCAAACAACTGAAGCAAGCAATGGATGAGTTAGAGGACGGTGAAAATTTAGTAAAAGACTGTGATCTAATGAACAAATCATTACAAACTCAAATTAAAAAAACACAAATATGAAATACCATAATAATAATGCGTTGGTAGTGTTAGGTGTATAAATACTGAAAATAGATATACTGTATGTGTGTGTGCGTGTTTGATACGCGTGATGTAGATCTGTGTATAATTGTAGATGTGCGCACACACACATTTTGTTATCATTATTATTATTAATAAAAGTTCACCGTAACAACAATGTAGTTGTAGTGTTAGGTGTATAAATACTGAGAATAGATATATCCTATATGTGTGTGTGTGTGTACACAGTCGCTAACTAGCGTCAGGCCCGGGTGGCGGAGTGGTTACGCGCTAGGTTGTAAAAGTCCTAAGTCAACAAGGGTTCGAATCCCTTACTTGGCGACATGACGTATAGTTAAGGTTGTAGATACACGCACACATATATATATTTTTAATAAAAGTTTATATACGCTACACAGTTTGTTTTTTACAAAAAAAAAATTAATAAAGTTTTATGGTTTTTACATTTTTACTAAAATTACTATTATTTACTATATTTCAAAATGTTCGATATGGGTTTTCAGCAGCTTTGGCTTCTTCGAATTCCAACTGGGAAATTTTCAGAGCGATGTCTTTCATTTGTTTCCCCTCTCCATTGATCTAAAATAAGGGTTTATATAAATGTGTGTGAAAGATAACAGGGTTAAAAGTAAAATTTTTTTTTACCGTATATATTTTCATATAATCTCCAGAATCAAGGGTAAACATGGCCATAGGTTGTGTAATGGTGGGTACTTGTAAACGGATGTACAATAAATCATCGTCGGGTAAAAGACTGTCCATATACTTTACCAAAACAACTTTGTATTTGTTAAGTGTGTTGTTAAAGTAGAACAATTTGCGATATTGCTCAATTGGGTGATAGACATAGAGATCCATACTACAACCACCTTTGCTTTCGATACCGATTTGTTTGAGTTTTGTACAGCAATTGTCACAGTGGTGGCATGCATAACATGCTAAACTTGCCTCAGCCATTAGTAAAAACCTAAAAGTATTTTTTGGGTTTTTATTAATTGGGTTATGTCCAAATATGGGTATGATCATATTTGGACGTATTGTTTTTTATATTTGCGGGTTGCGTCCTTTTTTTTTTAGTTGAAATGTATGGGTCGATGCAGCAAAACCTTACGAAAATGTTTGGGAGAAAAACCTTTTCAAAAAAGCAAAAGGTTTTTATATGTAAAAAAGAAGCGATTGATTTTAATGAAAGTATACATGAAACTTTTGGTGGAAGGGTGAAACATGAGGGTGGTGGTCAAATGGATGTTTTGTATACGGGGATTGGCCTTTGGACAGGGTTACTTTGAACCACCTAACCGTTACAACACCCTACCTGGTCGTTTTTATAAGGATGGGTTATTTACGTTAATTGATGAGGGTGGTGAGCGTTCATTTAAAATCTATAAACATGGTCGTCACAGGGATTATCCGTTATTTGGTCATTTGGTTTACCCTTAAAAATGGATAAATGTTTACGTGTATTGGATAGACAAATGGATTGTGTGTTCAATAGTGAGGAATTTAATATAGCTTTACACAAATTAAAAACAAAAATGGAGAATGACCAAATTGGGACATATCAGTTATATGATGTAGTTGTATGATATATAAATAATAGATAGTGATTTTTGTGGTATTACAAAAAAATGTTGCATTATAGGTATGATTCGTATGAAGCGTCTAAGTGGGAAATTGAAGTTAGTAAATGGATGGAGGGTAAAACATTTTATATACCCAATCCCGAAAATTGTATAGCACCACCTGAAAAAGAATGGAATATATCGAAATTAGCGAGTATTTTGGTTCAGAAAGTTCTAATACCCACTACGATTGAGAATGATGCCAATTTGTATACCGTGTTACTGGCACAAATGCATGTACAGTTATTACGTAATTTGGTTGTACCTGTGGCCGTGACGCATGGAAATTTTTTTCGAAATAGCAAAGTTAAAAAGATACATTTTGGGTCAAGCATATAGTAAACAGCAGAGTGGTATGAAGGAATTAGAAGGTTCAACTGGTGTAAATCTTAATCACTGGTATAGATTAAAAAGATGCGAGACAGCTAGATTAAGGGCACAACCCTTTGCAGGGTTAGTTTTTTTATACTTACCACCGTGTATTTTTTGCAGTTCTCTCTCACGACCGTTCTCTATCATTTTGTCTAATTTGTCGACAATTTGACACATGTACATGTAACAGGGACAATTACATATACACCTCATACCGTATAATTTCTCTGTACAAATACATTTACATTTATCACTTACATTTATTTCATTTGTGGCCATTTTTTTTATAGCAACGTCTCGAGGGGAAGATGACTAGAAGTATGACTAAAGAGCAATGGGTCCGTGTATGAACCCCTATGCAAAAGAGAGGCATCATTGTAGTTTATAAGTTAGTTGGATTGTTGGATTGTTATTAGTTAGTTTTTAACTGCTGAACATAATGTGTGTGGAAATTAGATTTTATTCGGGTTTTAAAAAAATGTATGTTATGCAAATACAAGTTGAAGAATTTCAAACTGTGTTGTGTGATGTTATTCCCTTGGGGGTAAATGTGCCATTTTTGAGGAAATCAGAATTAACTGACCGATATTATGTTTTGCAATTTTGGAATCGTTTAACAAGAGATAAACCCATAATGGATGTTTTATATGAGGGTAGTTTTTTAGATAAATTGGTGATTATTGGGTATGATATCACTGCATGAAAAGCCAAGTATTCAGATGTGAATACGTGCGAATATCAATTTGAATATGATGAATATTCACACGTATTCACTGATATTCACTGCGAATATCCTCGGAATATTAGTAGTATTCAGATGTGAATACCTTAGAATAAAACGCACCTCATATTCTCACCTAGAATACGTTTGAATATTGTGTGAATATATTTGAAGGCATAGTATTCACACTTGCGTACATTATTAAGTGATTTTGTGTCGATATTAAATAATCAAGATATTATTTTGATCAAATATGTGTAGTGATTGTGATTATATAGCTAAGTTTTGCTAAACTGCGCATCAGAGTACTTGCTTCCTAGTGATTCTGCAATTGTCTGGCAGTTATCGAGAATTGGGATTCTACTTGGTTGGTTGACTAAACGATTGTTTGTTGACTAGACGATATTTTGTTTTTTTAATACTTTCTATGTCATCATGTCATGCTAACTTATATAAATCTGAGTGCGCTGTATGCCCCTGAACTTATCTCAAAATTTACGGTAAATAAATATTGAAAAGAATAATATAAATTTACGTACATCGCTAGGCGTATTAAGGGGTTATAGATATTTACATATACACGGGCCAGACAGAGCTCGGACGGAATAGACATTATATAATAACTACAGTGAAACACGCAATTTGATTGGTCAATAGCCGTGCAGGATGAGACAAATCTTGCACGGAAAAATTTTTAAATTCTTTGCGGATTTTCAAAATGGCCGAAAATCAAAACATTTTAAGGTGCGAAGACAGTGAAGTTTGTAATATATTAAACGAGCGGCAAGTGAACAGTCGAAGGTTTGCAGCAACTACAGACAAGGAAGTTGACGAGTTGGTGTCAAATGCACAAGCTCATAGCACAAAAGCAAAAACAATATACGCCGTCAACATTTTTAAAGGTACACAATAGTAACCATTCGGTATTCCTTTAATACTAGCAGAAGTCTATCTTGAGTCAGTAATGAATGAAAATTATATTGAATGGAAATTTCAAATTTTCGTAATGGCTAATTTCCTTCACGACATTTTGGCGACATTATTGGCGATATAAAATTGCGGCGTGCAAATTGTAAAATTGGTAATAATCAGTTTATTAAATATCACTCACCTGCAAATTCTGCAAACAAGAATTTGTCCCACTGTTTGAAAGGGGGAAAGCATTGTTTTACAAAATAATATAACGATATTGAATGGAGCTATATGTGGTGGAATTGCAGATTGCCTTAACTCATTCTCATCCGGTCGAAAAGTAGCAATTTCGAGTGGTGTTGTTTCAAACGCTTATATCTCTCAAATCATACATCACACAGAAACAGAAAATGCATCGTTCGAAAGAGGAGGACTTCTGCTTTCCAACGATACCAATTTCAATTCCACTTCTGCTTTCCAACGATACCAATTTCAATTCCATCCGGAGCTTGGTTAACAATTTACTCGCATAAATTTGCATAAATTATGATATAAAAAGTTGCAATTATGCATAAATGTATTTAGCGGTTCAAATTTCAAATATGTCAAAAAATTTTATGAATATGACTGAAAGACACGGTTATGATCTACAAGTACCCGAAGTTTCATGGGGGGGTGGGGGGGGGGGGGGG